GCGCTTATCACATGCTGTGTGGTATCGGCGTTTGGTATCAGTATCCAGTATCGGTATTGATGCATCCCTAATTTTAATGTCAAAAGATGGTTTGCGCTGGCGAAAGCGAATCTGGCCCTAAATGTCCCAACCAGAGGCCCTGGCTAAACGCTAAATTTCTCAAACTGGCCAAAGCCCATAACCAGGTGCGCCATAAGGAGGGAAGGTTAGGACGATTCTTAGGGCCCGACGATGGAGGGGGGCACCCCGAGTGGGAAACACGATTTCTACATTTACATTTTCATTTAGTCATTTAGCAGATGTTTTTATCCAAAGCGACTTACAAAGTAGAAGCAATCAGACCAACGAGAGAGCAACAATATACGAGTGCTGTGACAAGTCTCAGTTAGTCTAGCACAGTGCACATAGCAAGGTTTTTTTTAATGTAAATAAATTAGACCGAATATAATAGAATAGGTAAGTGCTAGTATTAATTGGTCAGGTAATGGCGAAAAACATGTGTCTTTAGATGTTTTTTTGAAAATGGCCACCAGCTGGGAACAGTCCAGGAAAAGGTCCATGAGAGTGATTTTGTGCCTCTTTGGGATGGCACCACGAGGTGTTGTTCACTTGCAGAACGCAAGCTTCTGGAGTGGTGCAGCGCCAGTGGTTGTTTTGTAGGCAAGCATCAGTACCTTAAATTTGATGAAAGCGGCTATTGGCAGCCAGTGCATACTGATGAAGAGAGGTGTGACATGAGCTTTCTTCGGCTCGTTGAAGACCACTCTAGCTACATTCTGGATCAGTTGCAGAGGCTTGATAGTACATGCATGAAGGCCTGCCAAGAGAGCATTACAATAGTTCAGTCTGGAGAGAACAAGAGCTTGGACAAGGATTTGTGCGGTCTGTTCTGTTAGGAAGGGTCTAATCTTCCTAATGTTGTACGAGGCAAACCTGCAGGACCGGGCCGTTGTAGCAATATGGTCTGTGAAGCTTAACTGATCATCCATCACAACTCCAAGGTCCCTGGCTGTCCTGGAAGGAGTTATGGTTGACGAACCTAGCTGTATAGAGAGGTTGTGATGAAGTGCTGGGTTGTCCGAGACCACAAGCAGTTCTGTCTTAGCAAGGTTGAGTTGAAGATGATGATCCTTCATCCAGCCAGAAATGTCTGTCAGACAGGTTGCACTGCGAACAGCTACTGTCAGATCATCTGGTTGGAATGAGATGTAGAGTTGAGTGTCATCAGCATAGCAATGATAGGATAAGCCATGCTTCTGAATGACGGATTCTGAAGATGGCATGTAGATGGAGAAAAGAAGTGGTCCAAGCACTGAGCCTTGAGGAACCCCAGTAGCAAGAAGCTGTGACTTAGAAACCTCACTCCTCTAAGACACCCTGAAGGACCTATCTGAGAGGTAAGACTTGATCCACTGGAGTGTGGTTCCTGAGATACCCATCTTCATGAGGGTGGACAGGAGGATCTGGTGGTTAACTGTGTCAAAAGCAGCAGACAGATCCAGCAAGATGAATACTGAGGATTTGGAAGCTGCTTTTGCCAGTCTCAGGTCTACAGTAACCTAGAGCAGTGCAGTCTCAGTTGAGTGGCCGCTTTTGAAGCCAGATTGGTTGCTGTCCAGGAGTTGTTCTGTGCAAGAAACATAGACTCGCTCAAGTGTCTTTGCAATGAACGGAAGAAGGGATACCGGTCTGTAGTTTTCTAAAAGTGTTGGATTTAGAGAGGGTTTCTTAAGCAGTGGGGTTACCCGAGCCTGCTTGAATGCTGTGGGAAATGTACCAGAGTGAAGAGAGGTGTTGATAATGTGAGTGAGTGTGGGTATAACTGAAGAAGAAATGGCCTGAAGGAGGTGAATGGGTATAGGATCAAGCGGACAGGTAGTAGGATGATTAGAAAGGATAAGTTTAGAAATGTCTGCCTCCGAGAGTGGAGAGGAGGAGAGTGAATGAGTATTTAAGGTTATGAAGTTTTTGTCAGTTTGTGGCGTGAAGAATTGGTCGCTGATGGTTCTTGTTTTATTTATGAAGAATATTGCAAAGTTATCGGCAGTATGAGTTGATGAAGGAGTGGGTGGAGGAGGACAAAGAAGAGAAGAAATGTTTTGAAAAGCATGCGAGAGTCAGAACAGTTGTTAATTTTGTTGTGGTATTATGTGGTTTTAGCAGTGAAGACACTTGCAAAGAAGGAGGAGAGGAGTAACTGATATACACTAAGGTCAGTAGAGTTTGTTTATTTGCGTCACTTCCTCTCTGCGGCTATAAATAATCCTCTGCGGGATGATAAATAACTACAAAATTGATTGTAACAGGGTTGGTAATAGTAATTGTGTGTGATTCAAATGAACTGTTGCAGGTAAGAGATGGTAGACTATCAAATTTCCATTCTTTTGAAATAAGTAGAGCCATCCCTCCACCCCTCCCTATCGGGCGTGGCAATAGATGAATGAAAGTCTGCTTTGTTTACAGCAGAATGTCAGTTCCAGAGACCAATTGGAATAGAGAGTAAAGTAGTAGAGGACAGAGGGACAGTATGCAGATTATTAGGCTAGAGCTGCCTGCAACGTACAATGCGTGGTTTACGAGTGTTATGACAGCAGCCTAGATAGGAGCTGATCACATGTCACATCTTTTGCACACTCAAGCTCGTTATTTCAAATGTAGATGTGTGGCAAGCGCACTCATAATAGAAGATTTTTCATGAAATATATGCAGTGTTAGTAGTAATAGTAGAGATTTGGATGCACATATTGAGTACAATTGACTAGAACAAGTAAAGAAAGGGAAAAAAAGCAATACTCAGGTGTCTTTTTTCGGTGTCCTTGCTAGGTGGAGTCGCGCAGGTAGAGTCGATGGTCTTTACACTCGTCAGTCTTCACACTAGGAGGGCTTCACACGAGGGCTGCCGCAACCGCTGGCGCGGTGTACTTTGCAAATATATACTTTCCTGATTCCACGTAATTTAATTCAGCTGGCCAAGCCTTACTCCTTATGAAACCGAAACTGCAAAGCCACGCGATATGCACGAGAACAAACGTGACTTGAGCATGCGTTTACCATGGTAAACACAGTAAACAAAACATTGTGTCCTAGCAATGACAACTACGCTAAAATCTAATGAGAAAAGATACAAAACACTTACAGACTGCTGTCCTCTTCTGCTGCTCAACTGCTTCTACTGCAGTAATTTCTACCAAGGGGTCTTGCCTAATCGAGTCATTGTTGCATCGTCACAAAAATTTATAATTTGCACATCTTTGCAAGTCTTTTTGTTTTAGCCATTCGGTACTCGCACACCACAGATAGGGTTTTCTGTGCGCTCACAGTCACGTCCAAAGCCGCATTGTGAGTTTCATATTGAGTTATTATTCTTAGTTTGTTGAGCTTAAGTGGCCAAATACACACAGAATGACGTCAAAATGGCTGTCCTGGTGAGTATCCTTGTAAACGCAGTCGTTTTTTAAGTAGATGTAAATAGTTGAGAAAGAAAGCGCATGTGTATCAGTACTGGATCCGTGCATTCGGTCTTATGACAGCAGCCTAGATAGGAGCTGATCACATGTCACATCTTTTGCACACTCAAGCTCGTTATTTCAAATGTAGATGTGTGGCAAGCGCACTCATAATAGAAGATTTTTCATGAAATATATGCACGCTATAGGTCAGCACGAGCGTCTTTCGTTGGTGCATGAGGAGGGGGATCTGCCAAAATAAGGTGCCGGCACAAATTAAGCCCTAGTCATGCTTCAATGATTTCCACTATGATACATTAAATGTTTTAAAAGATGGGCCATGGTTCACCTCGAAGCACTCGTTGGCCTTACATGAAGACTGAAGAGTCACAGAGGAAGTCAAAGAGAGATGTGTGAGGAAAGCAACGTTCATCAGGAAGGACCCCTTTCACCCTTCCTCCCATCCAAGAAGAGGCTAAGAATTATTCAGACTAGCACCTTTAAACTCAAGAAATGCTTCCTCCTGCAAGCAGCTAGACTCACTGTGAACACCTCCATAATTAAAATCATCACCTTCCCACTGCTGCTACTCACAAACTGTAATTGTCAGAATTGATCATAATTCAGTTTTGACAAAATTATGTACTGTTTAAAGGCTAGCTCTGTACTGGAAATGACTCTGTACATAATTTTAAAATATCCAGATCATTGATTAATTGATTGATTGGTTACGTGTTAGCGTGCTAATCATTTTGAGCGCAATGGAAGGCAGTGGATTAGACTAATTGTTCTAATAGCATTAATATGTGTTAGGACATATGCTGTAATCATGGGCAAAATATAAGAGTAAATAAGCATCATTGGATTCACTAATCCTCTAAACTGTATAGATCAGATTGATCCGGTCTATGAATATGTACTAGTGGGTGGGTTTGAGAGCTGAATAATGAAACCTCATGTTGAATGGGCTGGTCGCTTAAGTATAAAGCGGAGTCATGCCAGTGTCAAGGATCAGGGAGCTAAACTGACAAGCATCCTCACACAGAGTCTACTCTTCAATATCCATCCATCATGGAAGTGTCTGATTGGGGCGTGACAAATGTGGACAATCAAACAGTCCAATACTGCTTTCCAGACAACAATTTGTCTTGTACCAAAAGTATCAGACCAGAAGCGGAGTACATTGTTGTGTACATTTTCGTATCTATAACATCAGTGTTCACCGTGTTTCTGAACTTGTTGGTGATTGTCTCCATCTCACACTTCAAGCAGCTCCACACTCCGACCAATGTGCTGATCCTCTCTCTGGCTGTGGCTGATCTCATCGCAGGATTGATTCTCATGCCAGTGCAGGGAATGAAACTCATTGAGCCATGCTGGTACTTTGGAGAAATATTCTGTTCAATATTCCCTCTTATTCTGTATGTGGTTGTCACAGCATCTCTGGGTAATTTGGTTATTATATCCGTGGATCGGTACATTGCTGTGAATGACCCTTTGCGATATCCACTGAAGGTCAATACTAACAGAGTTGTTGTTTCTATTGTTGTAAA